GTCAGAGATCCGATCTCCACCACTCTAGCTGCACCGCGCACCTTCAGTCTGAGTAAGTTGTCAAACTGATCAAATAGGAGGGGTAAGCCAAGAACAGGAACACCGTGATAGATGGCTTCATACATTCCATTGGTTCCCCCATGGGCTATAAAGAGACGGGTCTTAGGGTGTCCTAAAAAGTCCTTTTGGGGAAACCATTTTACTAGCCGGGTGTTATTTCCCAGAGATGAAGGTTTTTCACTTTCAAACCTCCAAATCACCTTCTGGGGGAGCTCAGCAAATGCAGCAGCAATAGCTTCTGTGATATCTGAAGGCAGAGCTGACACCACTGTGCCTATAGACATGATCACAACCCCATGTTCTCCAGAACTCTGCATGAATTCCTCCAAATCATCAGGGAGAGGTTCGGCCTCCTTGCACTGGAACCCCCCAATGTACACCACATTAGGCATGGTGGGCCGTGGAAACTCAAAGACAAAATCTGCCCTAAAAAGCCAGATATCAGCTGAGAGCTCTAAAGACACCAAGTCAGTCCCAGAAGGGAAGTGTTTCTGAAATAGCTCTGAGTAGGCGGGGTTAATAATGAAGTAATGCTCATAAACACTGTATAAATAATGCAACATATTCTTAATCCTGTCTGGAAAATCCATTTGATCATGAAGTTCACTTCCTGGTACAGGAACATAAGAGACAGGAGAAGGGGCTATAGTTTGATGACCTTCTCCATTGTTAATCCAGCGGACATTAAAGACCATCGGCAGCTTAAGGTAACCACCCAGAATAACCCCTAAAGTAAGGCCAGGGTCTGTCAACATGAGATCAAACTTACTATCCTGCAAGTTTTTCATGAAAACATTGTCCTCTAAAATTCTAGCAGCAGATCTTGCCAGAATTTCATGACCTTTCTCTAACATTGATGTAATGAGGCGCTGTTGGTAAAACGTGCGTATAAAAGTTGGATAGCCGCGGTAACTCATAACATCTTTCAGCATTTCATTGTAAAAGCTCCTGTCCGTCTCATCCTCCAACGTTGGAACATAAATTGAGGTATAAATGGTGGAGTTACTGGGGATGTACCAGCTCTTGGCTGAATGTAGAACTGTGATTTCATGGCCTCTGGAGTGAAGCTCTTCAAGGATAATCTTCATGTTGATCCAGTGGCTGGCGTCAACAGGTGCCACCAGGATGTTACTGCCATTACAGTAAGGAGGTCCGAGCAACAGGGAGCAGAGGACAGCCAGGAATATGGTGACAGAGGTAGACATCATCTGCAAGATAAACAAGGATAATATTTATGCAAATTTGTTCACTTCACCAGACTTCTACTTATATAGAGTATGATTTAAGAGAGCAGGAGTAAGGGGTTGGTTTAACCACATCTATTAAGTCAGGAGTTTGTGTGATTTGCTGGCTCTGCTATACATCACTCAAAGACTGGTGTCCTTAAAATTTAACTGTGTCCAAAGCCAAAAAGCTGAATCAAATTAGGTCATTAACAGTAATAAGTGGAACTTGCATAAGAAATTGGTTGGGACTTTATATAGATTGAAATGTTTCATAAGAAGAACCCTCGAGGACCAGACTTTGACCCCTATTCTTTAATACATCTGTCTATGAAAAGCTGTAAAGATATTTCCAAACAATCCAAAAGCTGTGACTGTTATTATCTTGGTGCAGATGACTGGCTTGATTGTTCATTCCATTCACCTGCCTTGCTCTGCCTAGTTTCTCATCACCTCTCATCTGTCACCTGTTCCAGTCTATATTGAACCTGCCTGCTTCCAGTCATCAGTGCCAGATTTTTTTAGGCTGTAGTGAAAGTCTTCCTGCGTACCTTATTGTTACAGATTGCCTGATCCTGACCTGTTCTGCTTTTGGACCTCTGAGCCTGCCTGTCTCTGTTTTGGTCAGTTTGACTGACCTGTCTTTGGACTCCTGCTGGATTCTGCCTGTTTACTGAACCTTTAACAAATTCCTGACACCATTGTGGATGTTTCTTAGAGTCCTCTTTGTACTTCTGAATCCCGAGCACATCCTCTACATAGGCTTTGACTTCACTCTCTGGATTATCCTGCCTTTCTTTGTCTGCTCAGTTCTGACCTCCTGCCTGCCCTATAACCTCTGGGGCTACAGCATCTGAGACTCTCTGGGCGGCGTCGGCCATGTCTTGTTGGCAGTCAACCGCCTGGAATCAAATTCGTCCTCAGGGCACCGACTAAACTAGAAGACCTAGAAGTTCCTTGCTGTTACTGATGATCCGTCTTTTTTAGATAAATGTTTTTTCAGATATTTAACTGTCTGTCTGTCTTGACTACTGGGTAATCTGTTCTGAGCCCTGACAGTGACATAAGGTGTGTTTCCATCAGCCTTTTCTAATGTGCTATGTTTTGGAGTATCACTTCAGAAAGCTTGATGGAAATGGCTAAATTAAAAAAGAAACTCCCTCAAAATAGAAAAAAAAATGTTCACGCTCATTGAGGTGGTTTTTGCCTTTCCTGAAAAATGGTTAATGGGGGATTGAACCACTTTCTTCGAATCATCCCAGACATAGCAAACTTTTACCTCACACTACTGATCGGCTGTTTCTGCTGTTGGCTTTTTCTCGGTAAACTTGGTTCAAATACTGATTTGGCGCCTGTGCTAAACTGTTCCCTGTATTTCTTATTTATTACCGCCATGATGTAACGTGGACAACAATATCTGACCACATTAATCTCTGAATCGCTTGGTTAATTAGCCTCAAACCAAATGTATAAACCACAAATTTGTACCCCCTCTTGTTCGGAATATGAAAAGTTTGGTTCAAATTTGACTTTCTGTTGGACGGAAACATGGCCTAGAAAGATTATATATATATATATATATATATATATATATATATATATATATATATATATATATATATATATATATCAGCTGACTGTTTCCAAAAACCAGTAAGAATCCAGGAAACACTCACACCCTTCAACCACTGTGTAAGGCAAGAGGAGATATAATCCTATAAATGTTGGACTCGGCTCAATTGGATGATTGATGTCAAAAACTTCACACTGTCACCTGGTATACTTCACTTTTATGCTGTATCGTGGGTGAATCTGCCTTGACTACATCTAACTGGTCATGTGGAGTTTGTTTTACAAATGCCAAGGCACCAAGCTATCCTACGAGCTGCTCTGAATAAACCGAAGAATACACTTAACTACCCCATAGATTGTGAAACTATCATTAGATACTAAGTGAGGATTTAATTTTTATGATCACATATGTGGGTAAATCATAAAGAAAGAAGCTTTCTCTCTTTGGTTGCCTTCCTGGATAGTTTGTTACCATTCCCACTGTACATGTTAGCTGGTTTGATCTGCCCCAGAGTTTAGATGAGCTTCTACCAAAAAAGAAAAACCCTGATAAGTTTAAATTGGACCAAAGAGGTCTGGTTTGAACCCATTTTTAACTCTACTGCACTTGGTAGATTCGCAAGACAAAACAGGATACTTGTACTTTAGTGTGATAAAAAGTTCTGTGTATTTAACTTTTTGAACATCCATGTTGGCTTTGAGTTACTAATGCCTGATTAAGTTTTATGATAGCCTTACATATACTGCGAGGAAAAACTTGTTTATGGCATAATTAAATCACAAACCACCTGCCAAATTGGCCTTATCAAATGATAAATTTGCTGTCTTTATTATTGACTCTGCCAGCTTCCTTTCAACTTCTTTTTTAAAAATTTAGATTGCATGCTGATGGACACTGAATAGCTCACTGTAGTAAAGGTTAATTATTGAAAAAAAGACATACTACTGGAATATGCATAAGTCTGAACAAGAAAGACATTTTGAAAAGGTTGCCAAGAGGAAGTCCCTTTACTCAAACAATATTTCTTCATGACTCGGGTTAGCATTTGACGGACCCAGAACATATCAGATTAACAAAAAGGTGTGGCATCTTCTAAAATATGAAGATTATCCACAAAATGTGAAAAAAAACCTACAGCAAATATTAAGATTTTTTTTTTGTGAATAACAACTTTTTTGTTGTTGTATGTTTTTAAAGGAAACATTCCTTAGTATAACGTATTGTAATCATCTGCCAAAATATAAAATCCAAGAGTAACCAGTATAACTATTGTCATAAGTGTACAGTATGTATTGTTACCTAATTAAAATCATTTATAGCCTTCAGTCCAACCAGTGAAGCAATTAATACACAGAAAAGACGATAATACAGACACTTGCAGCAATGTAAAGAGTATGCAAAAAAAAAAAAAAAAAAATTTTCCTCTCAGATAAATATTAAAAGCACTTAGATCCATTAGTGGTTCATACAAATGTTATTTAAAGATCCAACCTGATTGTTATTGAATCCAATTCCAGAGGTTTAATTTGAGAAGCCTGTTGCTGGTGAACTAGAATAGTGTTGGATACTCATCACAGGTTTTACATGCAGAGACCCTGAAACTCAAAGCAAAGTCCATTTTCTGGTTTAAAGGTCAGCCTGAAACAATTATTGCCCTTATCTTTAACCAGTGGGTTTGTTTAACATATGTAACTGTCCTACATATTTTAAGATCCTAGTTGTTCTGTAGGTACTCATCATTTATAGAATTGTAAACTGCTTTTATACTTTTTTTTTATCACCCCCTTTGCAGTCATTTAAATAAATCAAATGAATATTGTGTTTATTCAGACCTGTATTACATACTTTTTTATACCAGTTTGTCCATGTTATGTGTTAATTATACCAAAGTAAAGTGCAAACAAATAATATGTTTCCTTTAATTTTGGCTAAAAGATTACACACTGGATGAATTTGGCAGGGAAATCAACAGTCTCTTTAAACAGTTTTCTCCTCTCAAACATAACCTCTTTAGCAGACACCATCTTTTGCGAAAAAAAACTATGTTCTTACAATATATTTGACACCTAAAACCCAACTGTGACCCTTCACTAAACCTAAATCTGACATAAGGACAGGTGACAATGAGCAGGTCCGCCATGGTTCATGTCCAACTTAATACTGGAAATTTGGACCAGACACCTTCTCCACTTTTACAGCAACTGGATGGCCCCTAGTAAAGGGGCCCTGAATATGTACGCCTGGGGTGTTCCCCACAAAGCCTTCCTCAGTTCCACAAAACGCATGCGGACTGGTTGGGCAAGCCCCCATAAACCCTCATGCATCCTGCAGATGTTGGAGCTGGTCCGGTGTTCCTTGGCTGTGACGAACAAACAGTAGTTTCTCAAATCAGACTTATGTAAAATAGAACTTTAGTTCTTAAGACTACAAAACGCTAAGTTACATTAAACTACAATGACTAATTTGTTGATGGTACATGCAGTAAAGTAAATACTTGACATTTCCTTCTCTTTTCTATACAATGGTGGCAAAAGACTTTGCTGTCAAGCTCCAAAAGTAAGACTTCATTACATGTTTAATGTTGGTTAAAAGTTTTATTATTTTAAAACAAATGATAATTATCCTAACATAAGACAAACATGTTTGTAAATGACATTTATAAAAAGGTAGAGTTAAAGTAATTCATTAAAGTTTTTCAAGTGTCAAATATTTTGGTGAATTACTCTGCTTTTAATTTCTTGTTGGATTTCCTGCAACAGAAAAACCTGAAGACAAAGACCGAACCCATGATGAAGGTTCCGGTTATGGCCAAAAGAAAGGCTGCAACATCCAAACAGAAGTAGGAATACCAAGGCAGACTGAAACCTGCTGGCTTCAGGTGAGCAGCTCCTTTGTTCCTGATGACATACTCTATCCAGAAGATGGCAGTGTCCATTGGAGACATTGGTCGGTCACGGTGTAGCTGAGAAAGATGTTGGATGTTGTTACGGTAAGATGGATTCTCTAAGATGTCCTTCAGAGCCTCCAGGAAACTGTCTTTAGTCAGAGTCCTGACCTCTTCCACTCGAGCTGCACCGCGCACCTTCAGTCTAAGTAAGTTATCAAATTGATCAAACAAGAGGGGTAAGCCTAGAACAGGAACACCGTAATAGATGGCTTCATACATTCCATTGGTTCCCCCATGGGCTACAAAGAGACGGGTCTTAGGGTGTCCTAAAAGGTCCTTTTGGGGAAACCATTCTACTAGCCGGGTGTTATTTCCTAGAGATGAAGGTTCGTCACCTAAAGTCCGCCAAATCACCTTCTGAGGGAGCTCAGCAAATGCAGCAGCGATGGCTTCAGTGATATTTGAAGGCAGAGCTGACACCAGTGATCCCAGAGACATGATCACAACCCCATGTTCTCCAGAACTCTGCATGAATTCCTCCAAATCATCAGGGAGAGGTTCAGCCTCCTTGCACTGGAACCCCCCAATGTA